CACATGAAGGGGCAACTTCTACCACAGACCGTGGCAATTTCTTGGCGATGCGGGCGCCGAGGAGGAGGAGGAACAGTATCGGTGGAAGATGGTAGCAACGACACACGCGAATTCCTGTGCCGAAATCCTTCGTCCTAGCGTATTCCTTCTCCTACACATTCTCCTCATTCCTCTACTCTCCTCTCTTATCCCCGCTCCTCCTCTCCTCATCCTACGCACTATAATGCAGCTGTCCTCTCCCCCCTTCCAGTATTACAGCTCGCCCGCAGGATTTCAGACGGGGCCTTTCAGCGAACCACGCGCGCTGTACAGTACAAAGCGCTCCCGCTTCGTTCCCTCATGATTGGCCACGCGTGTTTCCACACGTTGACCGGTGCCCGGCCGTGGCCGCCAAATGCGCTGGCTTCGGGGATCTCCTGACCCGGGTCAACCCAGACCTGGGTCGGGCACGTCGGGCATATTCCCCTACAGGCGGGTTTGGGACGAAACATATGCAACAATTGTCAAAGAAATACTAGACAAATCGTCCCCAGACAATTTTTGACTATTCATAAGTATTCCTCGTATAGAGGGCCAGGCCCGCTTAAGCCTTGCAGAATCCTGCAAGATCCTGCGCCCAAGCCTGGGTCAACGCGAAGGATCCTGCAAGATCCTGCAGGATGCACCCAAGCCCGAATCAGTGCAACCCTGGCCCTGCAGGATCCTGCAAGATCGGGCGCTCTGGCTGACTCCCAGTTGCACTGACCCCCGTCTCACGGCTCCCCTTCCCCCCTCCCAGTGGCACGCGGCCGCTCCATGTGCGCCGCCTCGTGGTCGCCCCGTACGCTGGCTCGCGGCTCTCTCCGGGCTTCTTGCGCCCGGTGCCCGCCAATATAATACGCTCCCGCTTCGTTCCCTCATGATTGGCCACGCGTGTTTGCACATGTTGACCGGTGCCCGGCCACGGCCGCCACATGCGCTGGCTGGCGTTGCCCTTCACCCGGCGCCACGTGGCCGCTCAGTGCGCCGCCTCGTGGCTCCCGCTGCGCTTCCGAAAGTGGTTGGCCTGCATTTTTCCACATGTTGACCCTGTGCCTGGCCGTGGCTGCCAAAGGCGCTGGCCGGCGTTTTTCCCTTCTCCAGGTGCCGCGCCGTGGCCTCTCCGTGCGCGCCTCCGCGATCGTGGCCTCCCCCGTGCGCTGGCTCTCGCGCGCGTCTCTCTGGGCTTGCTTGCTTGTGCCCGGTGTTTCCGCCTCTCGCGGCCAGGGCCTGGACGGTCGGGTGGCGCTTCGCCGCTGTCGCCTGATGTGGTTGCGGATGAGGATGAGGATGATGAGGAGGAGGAGGAAGATGAGGAAGAAGAAGAGGAGGAGGGAGATGAGGAGGAGGAGGAGAAGGACATGGAGGAGGAGCAGGAGGAGGAGCAGGAGGAGAGGGAGGGGGAGGGGGAGGGAGGGAGGGGAGGGGACCCAGAGATCCGACGCTCCAAGAAAGTTGGAGCGGCGGGATGTTGGCAGCTTTCTCGGCGTCCGGGGGGCCATCGCAGGGCCTCGCGGGCGTCAAGAAATAACGACTCAGTGGACGAGAAAAGCCGGACCCAGGGAAGCGGTCCAGACTACTGGGGCCCACGCGTCGAACAAGTGTTAGCGGCCGGATGTCAATTAGGTTCCGCACATATTACTGGCAGTGCACATAGGAAGTCCGAAAACCCAGCTGTGTAGGGTCCACGCTCGCAGACACTTCGTAAGCTTTGTCACTCGGAGCGTCTTCGGTTCCTTGGCTCCGCGAAGTGGCGCTCCCGTTGCAACGTTGGCTCCGTCATTCGGAAAGGAAATCATTCTGGATCCAGATCCAGTCTCGTCGATGCCGCCCCTCCTTTCGCGGCATCGGGCAACGGGCAGGGAAAGGGACGGGGAAGGCGGGAAGCCAGGGAGGGAGGCAGGGAGAGGGGGCGAGGGGGATGGCGAGGGAGAGGCTGCGACGTCGCGTGGAAAAAAAGGCGAAAGACGCTGCGACGCTGCGACGCTGTGGCGTTACAGCACTGCTGGTGAGGTTGCTGCGCTGCGACGTTACAATACCAGAGCGACCACATAACAACTGCCCTAAGTGCGCACGATGGCACTACGGTCGGCTCAGGCAAGCCGCTCGCGCGGAACACCACATGTAGCAGAGCCCAAAGGACCTTACGCGCGGTCTCACGCAGGTAGCTTACGCACGACTTGCGGTTGGCTCATGTCTCACATGTCGCTCACCTTTTGGCGTCGTGGCATTTAACACATGACAAATCAAGGGCGGTGGCGCAATTAGACCGCGTGCCGAATCTGGCACAGACCGCGCCGTGCAACTTCTGCACTGAGGGGGCCCAGGGACACACCACACACACATAGATACATACAAATCCCAGGATCCCCCATACTTTTTTATTTTTCCTGGACTCTTGTCTCCCCCCCACATTTTCCATACCTGCCCCATGTTTTCCTGGGAGTCGACGATTACCTGTGTCTGTATACTCGTGCTCCCTCCCGATGCATGTTCGTGCCCCGCCTTTTCCTCCTCCTCCTCCTCCTCCTCCCTCCTCCTCCCTCCTCCTCCTCCTCCTCCTCCTCCTCCTCCTCCTCCTCCTCCCTCCTCCTCCTCCCTCCCTCCTCCTCCCTCCTCACTCCCTCCTCCTCCCTCCTCCCTCCTCCCTCCTCCCTCCCTCCTCCTCCCCTCCCTCCTCCTCCTCCTCCTCCTCCTCCTCCGTGGCGACTTCCGCGCTGGTTTCTGACGCCACGCGGATCGCTCGGCCCTGAGCACTTCCGAGCAGCTCCGCCAGTGCAGGCCGCTCGATGTCGGCCGATTCAGGACCGCCGGCGGCGCTCGACCTGGAACGCCCACGCTGGGGCCGCCGCTGCGAAGACACGGCGCGACACCGACGCACCGCCCAGCCGACGGAGAGCTCCTCTGCGACTTTTCCCCGAAAGGATCGGAGCGACGCAGAGCGCCCGAAGCGGCCCCGGCAGCCACCAGAGAAAGGAAGCGTGAGCCCGAGCTCGACGCGGGGCCGTCGGAGGGGTGGGGCAAGGGGAAGGTGGAGGAGGGAGAGGGATGGTGGGGTGGGGTGGGGTGGCACAGAGAGCGAGGGAGGGGAGCGAAAGAGCGAGAAGGACAGAGAGAGAGAGAGAGGTGGGGGCAGAGAGACAGAGAGAGAGAGAGAACAACAAAAAACAAGGGAAGGTGGAGAAGGGAGAGGGATGGTGGTGGGAGGGAGAGATAGGGCGTCAGATCGTGTGCGCCGAGGCGGGTGCCAGGACCTGGACGAGGGGTGTGGGCGCAGCATGGCCCGGAGCATGTGCGCCGACGAGGGGGGCGGGGGCAGGGGACGGAGGAGGAGGCGGAGGAGGAGAGGAATGATGATGATGATGATGATGAGGAGGAGGAGGAGGAGGAGGAGGATGATGAGGATGATGAGGATGAGGTAGGAAAAGGAGGGCGTGTTGAAAGAAAACAAGGCGGACATGACGTTGAGGAGACGTCATGGCCGCGACCATCATATCCACACAACACAACACAACACAGCACCAAACAACACAACACAACACAACACAACACAACACAACAACACACAACCCTACACTACACAACACAACACAACACACATCAACACACCACAACGCACAACACAACACAACACACCACACCACACCACAACACAACACAACACACAACATACAACACAACACACAGCACACACAACACAATCCACAACACACAACACACAACACACACAACACACAAACACTCCGCCCCAGCCCCACTACTGGTCGCCCCCGATCAGACCTGGGTGACGTAAAGCAAACACGACGGCTAGTCACGGCTGGTTCTGCTAAGTGTTCGGCCTCTGTCTCCCGGCCCGGGCCCCCCCCGCTGAGCGTCAAAAAGACACTGAAGATGAAAAAACCCTCGGTGAGGCGGTCGAAACCTCGGGGGCTGACGTCACGATAAAAATACAATATCCAGAGGAACGGGGAGGGGAATGCATAGATAGAAGAAGAAACAACTGCATTAGCATAAACTTTTTGCGCTCCGCGCGGATTCCTTGGATCTGCGCTGGACCACCCCTCCCTGGCGTGCGGAGCGCGCAAAGGGCGGCGCTGGAGGCGCCGTCGTGGGAGGCCCAGCGCAGATCGAAGAAATCCGCGCGGAGCGCCAAAAGTTTCTGTTTGTGCAGAGTTTCTCTTCCTGGAAGAGATTCAGGAAGAGGCCAGGGGCAAGAGGGGCTGCCCTGCGTTACCAGACATCCGCAAGCTCCAACTTTCCGATGCGTAGGCGGGTCCAAACCACTCCTCCGGGGCCGGCATTTCGTCCCGAGCCGGTTTTTGACGCTCCCGAGGCCCGGTGAGGGCCCCCGGAGGCCGAACATTGCCCAAACAAATCCCGCCGCTCTGATTCGCCAGGAGCGCTGGGATACGAACAGTGACCAGAGCGAGGGGGCCCGAACGGTCATTCACTGTCCCTGGGTGCGTGGCTGAAGAGGGGATCCACGGCGAGGATTCTTGTTGTTGTTTTGTTGCGTCGTCCCCCCCCCCGCTCCGCGACCCGCCCGCGACCCGCCCGCGACCCACCCGCGACCCACCCGCGACATACCCCGCGACCCATCCACGACCCACCCCGCGACCCACCCGGGCGACCCACCCGGGCGACCCACCCGCGACCCACCCGCGACCCACCCACGACCCACCCAGCGACCCACCCGCGACCCACCTGCGGCCCACCCGACAACCCACCTGCGACCCACCCGCCACCCTCCCCGTGCCCGCCCCCTCACTCTTATCCGCAATTGCGGGGTGCTACGTAGAAACTTACAACCTCTGAGGTGTGCGCGAATTTTTCGGATCAGCGCTGGACCCCCCTCCCTCGCACGCGGAGCGAACCAGGGGCACTTCAGCGACGATCCGAGAAATCCGCGCGGGCCTTGGGAAAAAATGTAGATACCGCTTTTATGAGCATCCTGCTCCCATCCTCTATCACTCCGCCCGCGCCTGCCGGGCCCTTTGCGCAGCGTCTCTGAGAAACTGAAGCCGCCCCACCAGGGGCCCGATCAGCAGCCAGGTCCTCTGGAATGCCCGCGGGGCCAGCGGACAAGGAGGAGGAGGAACGCCACACCAACTGAAAGGGGCAATCGAATAACGTATGAAAAAAAAATCAGCCTCGCGGAGCTATCCGAGCTCGGGGCCCGCCATTTTCCTCTTATCCAAGACCCGCTGCACGAGGCCTTCGGCCTCAGAACTGGAGGAGAAGCAACGAATGGCGACACGGAAGAAGAAGAAAAGGCAAGGTAGAGGAGGAGGATCAGGTCGGGGCAGGAGTCTAGGTGCCAGGGGAGGGAGCGGATGGGGCGAGGAGGGGGTGGAGATGTTTTGCAACCTCGGCGCCAGAGCGACAAAAACACCACCACATTCGGTACAGAGGCTCGGGGACAGCAGCGGCTGCAGCGAGGGTGACAGAACAAACGCGCGCTGCTGGCTGAGAAGGCACCAGCCGTAGGCGCGTGGGCGACCACGCGACGTTGAAGAGAAGTGAAAGGAGAAAACGAATGGATCTTAGGTCGGACATGCCCCCCTACAGGTAGATGTTGAAGAACAAACTAAACATACCCCAAAATACGACAAACTTGTCAAACAATACTCGAAAAGTCGCCCCCCGACTTTTATTTAACTATGTTTGAATATTCCCTCTGTAGAGGGACACGCCCGACTTAACATTAATCTCACGAATATGACGCAGCACGCTGCCAGCCTGACTGGCCGTCAGGGGTCCCATCTGGGCAGGACAGGCATGGCCTCCGCCGTCACCCAACTCGGCGGCAAGCCTGCGCAAAACCTCCTCTGGACTCAATCGTGCATTGGCTTGGGGAGGAGGCCCATCAAGAACGGGGGGAGGGAAGTTGCCCAGGCCCTCAGCCGTGAGGTTTACGCGCTGCGTAGTGTAACTCCAACCAGCTTCGGGTGGAAGCCGCTGACACTACGGAGGCAGCTGTACTTGCGGTCTTGCATGCGATGTTCAGTCAAAACAGCAGGCGAGGGTTGGCCTCGTTCTCGTACACCTCGAACCTTGCCCCCTGTGGAATAAGATTTGCAACGCGCGCGCGCACAGCCACATAAAGAGGCATCGGAGCAGTCAAAAGCGGCCATCGTGACTCCAAACGAGGTGTGGTCGTCCGCGATGAGCCCCCGAATGCCCGCGGCCCCAGGACACCAAGACGGTGGGGGAGCAGACAGTCGCGACCCCTGGGGACAAGCAGAGCACCGCCACGCGCTGCGCAGCCCCACCCAAGACGTGGCCCTCGTGATGGGCCTGCTTTCCACCACCACCACCATAGTAAAGTTGGAGGGGCATGTGGTCCTCTTCCTGCTCCTCCTCCTCCACCTCCTCCTCCTCCTCCTCGTCCTCCTCCTCGTCGTCGTCCTCCTCCTCCTCCTCCTTCTCCTCCTCCTCCTTCCTCCTCCTCCTCCTCCTCCTCCTCCTCCTCCTCCCCCTCCGCATCCTCCTCCCCCTCCAACTTATGGTGGTGGTGGTGGAAAACAAGCCCATCACCTCACGCTCCAGAGAACTGGCTGCAGATAGCGGGTTGGCCCAGGGCGCACCACAGAGGTCGCGGCGCGGCCCGGCGGGCAGCAACTTCGCGGCCAGATTCGCGACCGTGCGCGCGATGCAGCTCAGGCCAGTCCCCAGGGAACCTTCCGCAAGAAATCCAACCCTGAGGCCCCAGGGCGTCCCTCGATGTTTGGTGTGGGAGCGTCGCGCTCCCCATAGCAGAACCATCGAAAGCCAAGAAACCCAGGGCACCCTGGAGACGAGCAGAGTGTTTCTTGGCATGGGCCTCCACTGTAGAAAACAAGAACAAGGAGGAGGATGAGGAGGAGGAGGAGGAGGAGCAAGGTGTTTCTTGGCATGGGCCTCAACTGTATGGCTGCCGGCCCCGCGAGCAAAGATGCAAACGCCAGCAGCGAAAACGCCACGTGACGTCTACTCGAGAGGCGCCTTCACGGGACACGGGGCCCGCAAAAAGCCGCCCGCGAGCACGGTGGCCAGAGAGAGCGGCCGCCAGGCGATACAAAACGACTGCCCCGAGACCAGCCCTGGACAGCTCCCGAATCGGATGGTGCTAACCCCAGACGTGATCGCGTCGTTAAAGAATCAAGGACGGGAAATGTTCTATCAATTTCGATCACGGGGGGCCCTCGCCGGGCCCTGGGACCGTCAAAAAACGACCCAGGACGAAAAACCGGCCCCAGGGACAGGGTCGGGGACTTCCAGGGACGCCGTCCCGAAACAGTCAGGACGTCGCATGTCTGGGGCCAGAAGCCCGCCCGCAAACAGGTGGCCCGCGAGCGCAGTCCTGCCGCCTCCCGCCCCTCTCACGCACGCACTGGGCCCTAGGAGCATGACGCTGATGGGAAACGCCGCCGTCACTCGGGGCCCTCGGGAACCCATCTCCAGGGCGCCAGAGGAGGCCATGGACGCACGACAAAACGTCCTTACGACGTCCTGCTCCCAACGCCGTGCGAATCATCAAGGTGTGATTTCCCCCCAGGAGCTCCAACCTTTCAACCTGGCTGCGTGGGCAGCTCCGCAGCCTGAGCAGGAGCGCGTCAGGGTGCTGGCCGCGCAAGGCGCACCAAGTGTGATCCAACTGGTAGCCCAAGGGGAACGCTCTGGTTTTCGCCCAGACCACGTCGGTGGCGACACTGCGGATGCATCCAAGCTCCCTCGACGAAAACTGATTTGAACGCAAGGCTTTCTTCATCATGTCGAAACAATTCATGCCAGGCGCTCCTTCCTTGCAGTCCACATCCCGTTCTAAACTCCTGAGCGCCGCCTGGCCCCCAAACTGCCAACGAGCTCGGGGGGGGGAGGGGTGCGCGAGCGATGGTGACCGAAAAGTCGTCGACGAAATCCGAGGACGAGTTCATAGACCAACCGATCATAGCGAAGGACACAAGCAGGGCCACACCCTGCGACACCAAACTTTTTGGTCGGTCCGAACCCCAGGTTCCAGGCGCGTCGCTCAAACTGAGACAGCGTGTAGTCGAAGGCCCCAATGCACAAAAGCCACACCTGCTGGGAGTGACGAATACGGCCCCAAACCAGGCCAGGTCATCTTCCAAAATCGTGAGCCCCGATAGCGAACGCCTGCCAGCGCCTGGCTTGATAGTAGAAGCGGCGCCCCTCCGAACTCAGAGGAGCTCATAGCAAGACACCCCGAAGACCGCCGCCCCGTACTACAGATCTCCACTGCGCATGCACCAAAGACAGGCCGATGCTTCTCAAGGCGCCTGGCCTTCTTGATAACAGAGCGCTATCCTGACCTTAGTTGCTCCCATCGCACTTAAGGACCACATCCCAGACATAATTTCGAGCACCCGGACAATTATCGAAACAGTGTCTGCCCGACACGCTAGCGAAGAGTTGAAAAAACTATCGCCTTCCAGTGCCCGACACGTGTAAACTGTAAACCCTCTGTTTCGATACTTTCTTGGTGCTCGGAATTCTTTCTATATATTCGAGTGCTCAAGGCTACATTAGGTTGGAACATCATAATCCTAACCTTATCGCTTTGGCCCATCTGCGGCCCCTGCCCTGCGCCGCGCCAGCCCGACAGTGCGTCGGCCCCCGGTTCGCCGCGGCCGCGAGGTGAAGCCCCGCGTGGGCACCCATATATGCTCCTGGAGAGCTTTCGCCACCGCTGGGCTGGAAGAGACGATGGCAAGATCATCTGCAGCAAGGCGCGTCTCCATGTCCACCGCGATAGCATCATGGCGCATGCCAGCAGCGTCGCACAGCTCGCGGCTACCTGAACTGGTGGTCCTAGTGGCGGCACGGTGTTATTGTCTGTGTAACCTGTCTAGCTTCGTCGCGCAGAGAGAGAGAGAGAGAGAAAGAGAGAGAGAACAACAACAACGAGGGATCTAGAGAGCGAGAGAGAGGAGCGCGGAACTTTGTCATGAGCTGCGATCAAGCATATCCGAACATAAATCGTTGCGAAGCTGAAGCCAGCAACTATGCCTCGAGACGCAAGTCAGGGGCCGTCTATCTGCCCAGCCATGGAAACTAAGCGAGCCATGCGGTAAGCAGCCAGGGTCAGATACACAACAGCTGGGGGAATACCTA